TGTTCTTGCTCGTGACGTCATCTTTACAATTGCCCGTCACTGTGGCTGCTGTTCATAGCCACCTGTGTTGCCAGGCTTGTAATGGACAGTCTTAAAGTCTAAATAAGTTATTTATGAGAAATATTCAACCACTTCAACACCTATGATCATTAGCAGCGTATTCAAAATATCTATCAGAGGTCATAAAACATTATGATAAGGTATTGTTGCTATGAGGGTAAAATGAGTTAAGAATTAGGGCAAAATATGTTAATGTCAAAGGTTGTAGAGCACTATAGTTTGGTATGGTAGTGAAAAGCGTAAAGGAGGAGGAATATACGGAGTATGAAGGCCTTTCAGGACTGACACAAAGCCAGCCTTTTATCCTTTCGGCACGGCCCTCGCACTTTAGGATGTAGACAGAAGGGGATGAAGAAAAGAAGGGACATAAAAGGGGAAGAAGACACCATGAGTTGAGATGAGGGTTGAGGTCCAAGCTAGGGGACCCCCTCGACAAGGAAGAGCAAGGTATTAGGAGAGGGAGGCTAAAGAAATCATGCATACAACATGACTGACTCCGGGTCCAGTTGGTTCCTCGATAGTAAAATTGGTGTATTTCATCAATGCATTTTATTGCTTACCACAATTAGTTCGTTTGAGATACTTGCCTCAACGGGATGGCCTGGCGGGTCTAGCAGGACCTCTAAAGAAACCCAGCGATGATATGGACCACAAGAGTTTGTGGTCTGGATTGCTTTTCTATGTAAGAAAAAATGTCATCCTACTTATCCCAAGATGCAAGGTTCATTGAAATATTCATTACTTACTTATTCTTGCAATTATTGTTTTTTTATCAATGACTAGTATTGGCAGAAAAAACTGCGCAAATCAGATTTATTGAAATTTCAGTTAATCTAGTTTGTGCATTGAAGTGTTTTTCTACCATTGCATCAACAGGATAGTGTTTAACTATTTTTCAATGACTAGCATTGCTTGCATAACTCATCACTAGATCTTTTCAGTGGCAAAGTCAGTCCCTCATCCAAGTGCACGTAGACAGTGCAGTGTGAATATACATGGAGGCGAGGGGAAGGTAATGACAGTTTACGATAGTGTGCATCAATTCTAGTGCAGTAGAGTGTCCCATGATGTTTATTAGGATCATTGCTTTTATATAATTCAGAGAAACAGAGGCAGGCGGACAGACAGACACAAACAGGCAGGCAGAAACATGGATAGACAAACTGATAGACGCAGACACAGAGTAGAGGGCTGTACACTTTGGCGGGCATGATCGGCATGCATCTGTAAAGGGAATATCACGGGCAAGAAAACGAGAAAACTAATTGTTTACCAAGTAATTTTTCCACCTGTGACGTCATCTCTATTTCTGCCCGCCTATCATGCCCGTCTGTGTGGACAGGCCTTCAGAGAGACAAGCAGGCAGAGAGAGAGAAAGACAACAAACAAAAATATGGACAGAGGAAGTATAAGAACATTAAAACCCATGTATCTTGAGCTTAGTAATTCATGTTACTTTTGCAATTCCATTTTTCATTAAACATCATATTGCATGGTTGTTGTTTTGTGTCTGTTGTTACATTTTGTTTGCGAGTTATAGAATAATATATAAATTATTAATGATTGAAGAAGAAATCACAATATATCTATTGGATAAATATATTCAGTTTGGATTTCCTCTTTTGCATTCTATTGAAAATTACCTATTCTTCTGAAAGTTAAGGAAAAGGGTTAAAAACAAACAAGGGCCACGGTTGAATTTTCATTCATACAAAATACAAGTATTCAATTCAGATTGAATAAACAATAACATGAGTGTATTAGTACTACACTTTCAAATAATGTCCTCTTCATCTCAGTTTCTACTTTTCACTCTGCTGAAAGTTTCAACTACTTTGCTGAAAGTTTCAACTACTTAGCTGAAATAAAAGAGTATTTCAATGAGAGATCAATATTTCTCAAATGAATGTCAACTTCTAACAATACCTTGCATTACATTATTCATCTTAAATCGTTGAAACAAATAAATATGTCAGACATCAAAGGTCATATAATATCTTAGATATCTTTCTCAAGAGCCTGTTGGTTATCTATCAGAGAATCAAAAGATCATCCTTACCTGTTTTCTGCCTGCGTTCCCTCTCCCAGTTGTAGCCATATTTGCCGTAAAGCGCAATGATCTCCACACCTTTCATTTTCATATTTTCAGATTCTCTGAAGACTGTCTCAGCATCCTCTTTGGTTGAGAAGGCCATGTTGACAACACTGTAATCAGGTAGTACATCAGTATAGCAGTTGTGCAAAGAACACAAAGCTCTTCAATGTCTTATTTTCTAGTCTCTCCAAGAGCTCCCCACAAGACTCTGATAGCCCCCCTCAAGGTCTGGCTTGCATCCCCCCTCCCCCTCAGGGCTTACATCTTTCTAGCTCTGGTCACAGCTTAAGAATAGCTTATTTTTTCTTTTCTCAAGAGGAGGGTGGGTCACATCACCCAAGAAACTGATTCTGTTCACTTTACTTGCCAACCTTGCCCCCTTCCAGAACTGCCTATTCTCCCCAATTATTCAAAATGAAAAGCTAAAATACTTACTTTTTGTGTGAATCATAGTGCATGGCTGTGGCTGTGGGGAATATTTTCTTTATTTCCTCCTCTGTAGTCCCCACTGGTAGATGCTCAACAAACAATCTGCAGCAGAGACAAGATATTTATCATATGCTACATCTAACAACACTAAAATGAGTATCTGGAAATGCTTCATCCACCTCCAACCTATCACATACACAGTCCAAGGGATACAACTTACGTGTATGGATTCACAACTGTGCAAATCTCCTGCTGCTTCCAGAGCCATGCATGGTTCACTTCTGGACTTTTCTTTAGTTCAGTCACCTTCTTCTCAGCCTGTTCCTTCGATTTGTAAACCAGGAAGCACAATTTTCCGCTACAGATCGAGAGAATTAAATTAATGACATACAAATGGCACAGTTTCTAAACTAAATAAATTTCTTACAAAAGGCCAAAACAACAAAATAGAGAAAAGAACCTCACCAAACAAGAGAAAGGAACTTACAACTTTATGCCAAAGAAGAGTGCGTCCTTACACATATCTGGCCTCTCCTTAACGTATTCTTGTTTGAACTTCTTCATTCTGATGACCACTGTCCGCTCGCAGATACTCCTCTTCCGCTTTGTATGCATGTCCAACAGCTCCCCTTTAAGCTCCACCTGGTGAAAGGCAGAGGTGAGAAACAGGTCGAAACAGGCACACTGCTTAATAGGAATAAGCCAACAGAGTAGGAAGAAAGAAGCAATGGAGGAAGTAGGTAAAATAAGGAAGGAAGTAGAAGAGAAGGGAGGCAGAGCAAGGAAGGAAGGAGGAAGGAGGCAGAGCAAGGAAGGAAGGAGGAAGGAGGCAGAGCAAGGAAGGAAGGAGGAAGGAGGCAGAGCAAGGAAGGAGGAAGGAGGCAGAGCAGGGAGGAAGGAGAGAGAGGAAGGCCAGAAGAAAGGAAGGAGGAAGGAGTCAGAAGAAGGGAGGAACAAAGGAAGAAAGGAAGGAGGTAGAGAGAAGAGGAAGAGGAGAGAAGAGGAAGGAGGCACAGCAAGGGGTGGAAGGATGAAGGAGGCAGAAGAAGGGAGGAAAGAGGCAGAAGGAAGGGAGGAAAGAGGCAGAAGGAAGGAAGGAGGTAGAGCAGGGAAGGAAGAGGTAAGAAGACAGAGCAAGGGAGAAGGAGGAAGGAGAGAGAGCAAAGAGCAAGAAGGGAGGAGAAAGGAGAGAGAGCAGGAGAGGAAGAAAGGAGAGAGGAGAGAGAGCAAAGAGCAAGAAGGAAGGAGGAAGGAGAGAGAGCAAAGAGCAAGAAGGAAGGAGGAAGGAGAGAGAGCAAAGAGCAGAGAGAGCAAAGAGCAGAGCAGGAGAAGGAAAGAGATAGAGAGAGCAAAAAGCAAGGAAGGAAGGAGGAAGCTACATTCTAGCATTATGACATCTATAATTCTTTCAATAAACATAATTCTATTGTGTTAATGCCAGCTATTTTCTTTTTTCTCCTTATGTTAACCACACACACATGAGCACACACGCACACATGCACCCACACACACGCACACACGCATGCGCACTCACTCACGCAAACGCACGCACACACACAAAAGAAAAAAAATCCACATACCTTCTCATCTGGTACATTATGATTAATTTTCTTTTTCTTTTGGGGGGACTCATTTTCCTTAGCCTCTGTATCTTCTGCCTTCTCAGAAATCTTCCTCTTCCTGTTCCTCTTCCTTTTCTTCTTGGTCTTTTCACCTCCCTCGACATTCTCGTTGGGTTCCTCGGATTCCTCCTTCGGGGATTTCTTTCCGGTCTTCTGGGTCTTTTTTTTGGAACAAAAGAAGGTGAGAAACTGAGCTAAACTGCCACAATATTTACTAGAAAAAGGAGGCGGAACAAGGGAGGAAGGAGGCGGAACAAGGGAGGGAACAAGGGAGGAAGGAGGCAGAACAAGGAGGAAGGAGGCCGAGCAAAGGAGGAACAAGGCGGAGGAGGAACAGGGGCAAGGGAAAAGGCAGAGCAAGGGAGAAAGGAGGCAGAGCAAGGGAAGGAAGGAGGAGGAGTAAGGGAAGGAAGGAGGTAGAGCAAGGGAAGGAGGAAGAGGAGGAGCAAGAGAAGGAGTGAGGCGGAGTAAGGGAGGAAGGAGGCGGAGCAAAGGAAAGGAAGCACAGCTAGGAAGGAAAGAGGTAGAATAAGGGAGGAAGGAGGTGGAGCAAGGGAGGAAAAAGGCAAAGCAAAGGAGAAATGAGATGGAGTAAGGGAAGAAGGAGGTAGAGTAAAGGAGAAATAAGGCAGAGGAAGGAGGCAGAACAAGGGATAAATGAGGTGGAGGAAGGAGGCAGAACAAGGGATAAATGAGGTGGAGGAAGGAGGCAGAGCACAGGAGGCAGGACGCGAAACAGGGAAGGAGGACAGAGGTAGAGCAATGAGAAGGGAGGAAGGATGGAAGTAAAGTGG